CGTGCTGGGGAATGAAAGGATAAAAAACGCTTACCATGCCAAACAACAAAGACCTCCAACTAAAGTTACAGAATATGAGCTTGCTGAGGAAGGAGACAGTCTGAAAGACTGCTAGCTGTTTCCCTCAACTATATTCACTTTTTCCTTCATAACAGTAGTGCTTTAGCTATTAATATTACGTGGACAAGTGATTAGAGATTCCATTTTCCTGCTTCTCTTACAGCTAAATGTGACAATGTGAACTTGTCTTCACAAAATTTTAAAAACCTTGCTTAAAAAGAAATTACTTTCTTTGAGTTAGTATGTGGCCATGGTAGCCAACCAATTCTTGCCATACTGATGAGAGCTACACCTTAGAAGAGGAGGCCAACAGGGCAAAGATATAATCATGCTACCGAGCGATGGCTTTGCTATTTGGCATGCATAGAAGCCAATACTCTGGTGCCAGCTTTAGAGAAAAGAAAAAGCTTTGTCAACTGGCAAGCAGACAGAAAACAATGCTCAAATCTGTCTCCCCAATCTGAGGGTGGGTCCAGAGTTTGTGGCCTTTCTAATGAGTCCCAGGTCATGCCAATGCAGCCAGTCTGCCAGGTTGGTAGTGTTAACAACTAGGAGGTTAAAGTGCTTTCTATTGTGCGTGGCTGGGCAATTTTAGCTGTGTCACCTGTAATAACTTAAGCAATGGTTAATCATGTCCCCGTTCCAACAGGATGACACTGAATCAGAGAGGCCAGATGATAGAGAGCTCAACTGGTAGATTGCTCTGCCACAGAGAAGCCAAATCTATACTACAATCAAGCAGTTTTATAGACTTACTTGGAAGTGGTCAGCTATACCACCAGTTAGAGTGAAAAGTTCTATGCTCAACTGAAACTAGAAAAATTGATGAGAAATAACCTTGTAGCAAGTTCCCAAAAGATAGAGATGAGAAACTGCCTAAGGGTAGGCAGCTCCCTGCCAGGCTTATCCCCTTTTGTATCAGGCAAAATCACAGGGCATTCTCCCAGAAAGTGGAGAAATAGATGTTGGGGGTGCCTGGCTGCAGCCTACATGGCCTACACAGAGATATATGCAGGTTTGCTGAGATGTCAGGGCAGAGCCATTCTCTACACGCATTCCATAGTGACCTCTTAAGTAACATGTTATAACAATAACAAAAAAATATGCATTGACTTCGTAGTCAAGTAACTAGCAAAATGAATTTGTGTAATTCACTGAGCTTAAGATTCTTCACACATCAAATAGGATCATCTAAATGAATTCCAAGGTCATATTTCATTTAAATCAATTCAGAATTGTGACTTTACCAAATTATTTTCATTAAATTCATGATGCTAGGTGGATACAACCTGATATTCAGTAAAGCATACACTCTTCCTCAAATCTTCGTATTACATAGCAAACAGGAACTAAAGAAGTAAACTGTCTGGGACATGGGCCATGGCCAGAAAGGTGGCCACCCTCTTGCTGGTCTCGCACCACACATTCACAGAACCTGCTTCACATTCACATTCATAGACAACCTGCTTCTGGGTTGGGGTTTCGTAGCTAGCAGAGCAGATCTCTCTCTGTGATCTACTGAAAGTCAGCCATCGACACTAGGGTTTGTTAAAAAATAAAAATAAAAAATAAGAAGCGAACTGCATTAAGTTTCTAAGAGTCTCAGGGAAACATTGTCCTCCTTGGAGGGTCTATGGAATCTCTTTTAGACAATCATTGGAAATATGGTGACCACTGAGAGCTGCCTCAGGATATCATCACTCAGCTATGCCATATCCCAAATGGTGGCCTATTTCTGAACAAGGCTCACAGCACTTTGCAGTTTCGATTTGTAGAGATCTACCTTTTCATGGCTAGACCCAAAGACGGAGGCAGATCCATATGGCTCCTGTAGGTCCCAGTGAGCTCTATTACATCATCGTGATGAGCCAGCTAAGCACCAAACTCCCTGGGTGAGTTAATTCTATGACTGTACACTCACCTGAAAGAAATTAGTTGGTTTGGCCAGAAAGTACTATCTGAAAACCCTCGGTATTTGGAAATACATAAAGGGTAGGGACTAGTCAAAAAGGTAAACAAACTTTGGAAAGTTGTTTAAGATGTGCTTCAAAGTTTCTTAATTTAGCCAGTGTAGTAATCAGGTAAGGGTGCTGGAAAGAGAAAGCGTATAATGAGGCTGGGTTTTGAATAGAATCTTATGTTAATACAAATGAGTTTACTCCGTATTTATTCTCAGGGGCATCTTTTTCTGATGGCAGGGTGACCAAAGTAACTACTTTCTCCAAGAAGAAGGTGTACCACCTATTTTTACTATCTCACTTCCTCTTATCTTACCTTTTCCCCCTTTCTTTTTTAGACAAACTAGAAGTCTGTGAGCTGTTTTTTTTTTTGGCATGGAGTACTTTTTTTTTGAGTTGGAGTCTCACTCTGTCACCCAGGCTGGAGTGCAGTGGCCTGCTCCTGGCCACCCCAGCATCGACCCTCTGGGCTCTCGTGATCCTTCCGCCTCAGCCTTCCAAGCAGCCAGAACAACAAGCTCGCGCTACCACACCCAGCTAATTTTTTGATTTATTGCAGAGATGAGGTCTCGCCAAGTTGCCGAAGCTGTTCTGGAACTCGTGATTGCTCAGGCAATCCTCTTACCTCGGCCTCCCAAAGTGCTGTGATTACAGGCTTGAGCCACCACACCCGGCCCACATGGAATACTTTAAAAGTATTAATTAGTGGCCAATATTTAGAAGATGGACTAACATTTTTAGAAAATGGATTTCCAGTTTTTCTTGGGGGGAGAAGGCAACAATTGATGGGGGTGATTGGTTAGGTGGTCTGGATTTTCCACCAAGCCTGCCTTACTCACTAATGTTCCATGAGTGTTCCATCTTTGTGTTTCCTGCTCAGTAGCTTCTGTCTCCTAGCCATTGGGACCAGAAGCTATTATGCCTATCCCAGCAGGGAGGCAGCCTGATGAGGAAAAAGACTCGGGTTAAGCACAGGACTTTGGTTGAACAATCGCAGCGTGATTAAGGAGACTGACAACGACAATATGGGCACGAGCAGTATTTACTACGGAGTAAATAGAGGGAGCTGCAGACCAGAGGAGGTGACGTGATCTATTTAACCTTGCCACGTTGGCCACGAGGGCCTAGAGAGGTGTCTAATCTCGACTTCTTGAGTAAGCTGAAGGCCAAAGGGTAAACAGGAATACTAACACAAATGGTGAGGTTTCGGGCAGAGGGAGTAACAGGCCAGGTGTGGCGGGAAAGAGACGAGAGAGTTCAGATGCCTGGAGCAGAAGGTGACCCGAAACGAACAGTGAGATCAATGTGGAGAGAGAAGCAGGAGCCAATTTAAGGAGTGTGACCTTTATCTCAGGAACACTGAGGAGCCACGACGAGGGGAGTAAAGTCCCGGAGACTCAGAGAAGTAACGTGTCCAAGCTGTACAATTAGGTACAGGACTAGAAAATGTGCTGCCTACTGGCTGTTTGTAGTTATCTACGAACTTCCCGCTGTCCCATGTTTACCGCTGACCTGCCAATTCGAATGACGAGGCACAGCATCTGTTTAATTTCAATAGCTTTAGCGGCACAGTAAGTTTTCTGGTGATCTGTATGCACTGTACAGCGAGGAAGAAATGTGGGCTTTAAGGTGTACCCACCAACCCCACCTGAGCACATCGCACCCGAAAGGTGACTCTTTTTTTTTTTTGAGTTGGAGTCTCACTCGTCGCCCAGACTAGAGTGCAGTGGCCGCTCCCGGCCACCGCAGCCTCGACTGTTGGCTCCGGCGATCCTTCCGCCTCAGCTTTCCAAGTAGCCGGAATTACAGGCATGCACTACCACGCCCGGCTGATTTTTTGATTTATTGTAGAGATGAGGTCTCGCCAACTTGCCCAGGCGGGTCTCGAACCCGCGGGCTAAGGCAATCCACTCACCTCAGCCTCCCAAAGGCGTGAGATTACAGGTTGAGCCACCGAGCCCGGCTCGAAAGGTGACTCCTAACTCGCCACTGGCTCTGCGGAAATGGCCTCAGCGCTTCAACCGGAAGCAGAAAATGACCGTTACGGGCGCCACCTAACGGCCGGCTGAACTAAGCTAACCGCGGAAAATCGCAACACCGGAAAAGGTCTTGCCGTTTCCGGCATAAACCCAACAGGGCAAAAGCTCAAAGGGCAAGTCTCGAAGATCCCGCCCGCTGCCCAGCGCGCTTGGTTCCGCGACGTCGCGTGTCCGGTTGTGCGCAGGCGCAGGGACTATTACGCAGGCAATCGCGTACGCAAAAGCGTGCGCGCGCCCGTCTTGCGTCCGGCGCATCGGTGCTGTTTGGAGGGTAAAGCCTTCGGAACTGTAACGCAGGCTTTTGTTTTCTAACTACAGCTCCCAGCATGCCTCATCCCTTCATATCGGTAGTGGGTGTGGTTTCCCAGGATAGGGTAGGAAGGTAGCTGAACGACGGTGACGTAGCCAAGAAAAAAAAACATTGAATACTTTTGGCAAGCACCTCGCTCACAGAAGCCCCAGTGGCCTAATGGATAAGGCATTGGCCTCCTAAGCCAGGGATTGTGGGTTCGAGTCCCATCTGGGGTGACGTCCGGCTTTTTGCCTTCAACGCACTTTTTTCTTTCTAGACAATTATATCGGGATATGCCAATTTCATCTTACTTTTTTAAATGGGAGGAAAGTATGGGTGGTTTTACTAGCTGTTCACTGCAATGTTAGAGAATCCTCATACTCCATTTTCTTCCTTTGAGCCGTGGGTCCCGTTGTATTTTGGAGAAGTCTGTCAATACGCTGAGTTTTGATGACTACTCCTTCTGGAAATCATTTAAAAGTGTCTCCTCAGCGTGTCCATATCAAATACCCATTCGCCCCCTCCAGGCCCGCTTTCTTTCCTGAGACCTAGCAGCCTCTCAGCTAACGGGCGTCTCCCATCTCGCAGCCTAGAAAGGCCTTCCTGGAGGGGCCCTCTCGCCCGGTCTGGCTCAGCGTTCGAGGACCTGGTAGGTGACGTTCGGCTTTCGTTTGCTTTTGCCTTAACTCGTTAGGGCGCCGCTCGGCGTTCGATTAGCACGGCTCCCTCGAAGACTGAGGTGAGCCGTCCCACGGCTCGTCAGTCGATAGGGGGAGCCGGTAGTCGGGACCGGCCGTACCATTAGCGGTTGGCGGGACGATGGGTTTGTAGGGGCGGAGGGCGCCGTGGGGCAGCGGGCTCCGAGGACAGGAAAATGGCGGCCTTAGGGTCTCCGGCGCGCACTTTGCGAGGCCTTCTGCGGGAGCTGCGCTATCTGAACGCGGCCACCGGCCGGCCCTATCGCGACACTGCGGCCTACCGGTACCTCGTGAAGGCTTTCCGTGCACATCGGGTACGAGGCTCCGTCCCGGGCCCCACGTCCTGGGCAGGGAGGAGGCGTCGAGTCTTGGCGGGCCAGGGACGCGGCGTCTCTGCCTGCATTTCGGAGGCCGAGTCTGCTGCCGAGCCTGGATTCCGACCCAGCCGACTCAGGCCTAGGCTGTGTTCTGGCCTGACCCCGAAACAGACCGGGGAGCGGCGGGGCGCAGGTCGTCCTTGGGTCGCGGATCCTGTTCCCTGCAGGAGTGGGGCCGCCCCGCGGAGGGGACAGAAGACAGCGGGGTGGAGGAAATGGGGGAAGGGGAAGGTGGACTTGAGGAGGGCTGTGGTGTCGCTAGCCTTAAAGCCACAGCACCTGTCCTACAACCTCCCCCTTCCTCTGGAACTGTTCTGAGAAGCATGTTTTTTGAGGCAGAAAAGAAAACCTGGGCTCTAGCGAAGGAAAGCCACTGTTCTTGAGCAATGTGGGAAAAGGAAGAACCGGCATCTTAAGTGTCGCATTTCTGAGCGTGGAAGTCAGAAGACAATTTTTTTTTTTGAGTTGGAGTCTCACTCTGCCGGCCACCGCAGCCTCGACCTGCTGGGCTCCGGCGATTCTTCCGCCTCAGCCTGCCGAGTAGCTGGAACTACAGCCGCGCGCTACCACGCCCGGCTAATTTTTAATTTATTTTTACAACTAAAATTCACCTAGTTTTTTCAAAGGTGACTACGTTAGGGACTGTGCTAGGCACTTGGGCTAAATCCAAAGGATAAGGTGTACACGGGTCTTGTCTTTTAAGACGCTTTCGGCCGGGCGCGGTGGCTCAAGCCTGTAATCCCAGCACTTTGGGAGGCCGAGGCGAGAGGATTGCCTGAGCTCAGGGGTTCGAGACT